CCTCAACCCCGTTCCTCATTCTGGTTTACGTTGACACCCTGGTCTTCGCCACTCCCGACCGATGCGCACTCGCCTCCGTGAAAGAGGAACAGCAGAGGAGACACACTTGCACTAACCTTGGTGAGTTGCAGCGCTACCTTGGCCTGCAGATCACCAGGGACAAGGCAGCTCGCACCATTACGCTGACGTAGTCGCATATGGTCTAGCAGATCTCACGCGGTTTCGCATCCTGTTCTCCAAGGTACATCTCACCCCTCTTGCGGTGGATCATGGGCTCACGACTCCACCTTCGGACGAGTCATTTGAGCCCAGTGGTCCATACCCTGAGTTGGTGGGTTGTCTCATGTACCTGATGACCTGTACTTGCCCAGACCTAGCTTCCCCTCTTAGCGTCCTGGCGCGCTTTGTTGTACCGGGGAAACACCGACCTTCCCACTAGTTGGCTGCTAAGAGGGTGGCGAAGTATGTGGCGAGCACATTAGGCATGGGACTTGTCCTTGGAGGGAAGCAGCCAGTTACACTCACAGGTTTCTCGGACTCGTCGTACGTGGACTCTGCCCAGACGTACAGGTTTACATAGGGTTACTGCTTCAGCCTTGGGGCCAAAGTTGTTTCGTGGAGGTCGACTCGGGCGTCGTCCGTCGCTAGCTCCAGCTGTGAGGTAAAAGGTGTACGTTGCAGCCATGTCCGCACAGGAGCTTCACTGGCTGTCTTTCCTCCTCACCGACTTGGTGAGTGGCCTCGCTCTCCCCCAGTCTTGTTCGCTAACAACAGGCCTGCTGTCCTATTGTGCGAGGAGCCCTGACTGGTTCGGAAGGTGAAGCACATCCAGCTTCGTTACTTCCTTCTGTGCGAGTTAAAGCAGTGTGGCCAGGCACTTGTGAGACGCGTGGTCTCCGAGTCCAGCACTTCAGATATCTTCACCAAGGCGTTGACGCCTTGTGACCACCAGCGCTTCTGCACCAAGCTGGGCCTTATGTCTATAGGCCCTCACTTGCTTGCGTAGAGATGCTTTGCCTTGTACTCTTGCATCTAACTATGTTTGGTATATATCTGCTTGTGGACCGGCTTGTGGCCCCTTGCTTCCGTAGAGTGGTCATCTTTAGGGTGGGAGTGAAGGTCTGGAAGAATTCCACCCCCTCTCGCTGACTGAAGCCCCACGCCACGTAGCACGCCTTGAACACCAGTGGTGCTCCAGGAGGCCGCTTCACCTTATAGAGCCACATGCCACTGACGACCTTCGGCCCAGGTGGTGGGACGGCGTCGACGTAGGTGCCTGTGGACCTATAAGATGCCATCTCTGCCTCCTTAGCTGCTATCCAGTACGAAGCCAAGGGTCCCGAGATCGCCTCGAGCCTCGATAGATCAGGATGTCAAGGGCGTCTGGTCCCCGTCTGAGGGAAGCAGCATGGCGCAGAGATGAGGAACAGCGGCCACACGGAAACCAAGCTCGAACTGCATGTCCTCCAGGACCTCCAGGGGAAAGACAGTAGCACTCCCGACAGTAGGATCTGAGGGTCCTAGGAGTACCGGCCCCAACAGCGGCTCAGCCAGCAGTGGGCGCGACATCGGTCCTTTCGGGTACCGGATCCTGACTGGCCCTGATGCTGGCACTACCTGCTCACGTCCCGACCACTCCGCTCTAACAGACGCCATGGTAGGCGCTAGAGACAGCGGAGCGGTCGGGTACGGTGAGGAGCGGCCTGGTACAGTCTCATGCGGTCGAATGCGGTGGAAAACGGCTAGAAGCAGTCGGGTGCGGACTGGTACGGTCTAGTGCGGTGGAAAATGGCTAGAAGCAGTCGGGTGTGATCGGGGTAGAAACGGGGTACGGATACGGGTACTGGTACGGCTACGGGTACTGGTACGGGTAGCGGGTAAAGGTAGCGGGGCCTTCTAGCTCGGGGGGGGGCACGAGCCTTCTAGCTCGAGCGGAGCCATGGGGCCTTCTAGCTGGGGGGCACGGGGCCTTCTAGCTGGGTCCAGGAGGCCTTCTAGCTGGGGGCCGCGGGGACTTCTATCTGGGGGCGACGAGGCCTTCTAGCTGGGGGCCACGGGGCCTTCTATCTACGGTCCAGTGCGGTTGAGCGCGGTGGAGCGCAGTTCCGGTAGGTCTAAAGTATTGGGGAAACGGTGGGGAGCGGTCAAAGGCAGGCGGGTGGGGCTGGAGGGTGGTTTCTCGTGGTCGTAGGTAGCAGGTGGGGCTTGCGGGTACAGGGTGGGGGAGGGGCGGGTAGCAGGTGGGGCGGAAGGTACAGGGTAGGGCGGCAGGTAGAGGGTGGGGTGGCGGTTAGAGGGTGGGGCGGCGGGTACAGGGTAGGGCGGCAGGTACAGAGTGTGGCGGCGGGGAAGGGTACGGGGAGGTGACGGGGAAGTGGACGGGGAGGTGACGGGAGGCGACAGGGAAGTGGGAGGGGAGGTGACGGGAGGCAACGGGATTGCGACGCGGAGGCGATGGGGAGGGGGGGGGGGGGGAGGCGACGGGAGGCGACGGGGACGCTACGTGGGCGCGACGGGAAGGGGACGGGAGGTGATGGGGTTGCGACGGGGAAGGGGATGGGGAGGTGGCGGGAGGTGACGGGGATGTGACGCGGAGGCTACGGAGAGGGGACGGAATGCGACAGGTACGCGCGAGGAAGGGGACGGGGAGGCGTTGGGAGACGACGGAGATGCGACGCGGAGGCGACAGGGAGGGGACGGGAGTTGACGGGGACGCGATGGGGAAGAGGACGGGGAGGCGACGGGAGGCGAAGGGAACGCGATGTGTAGGGGACGAGGACGCTACGGGTACGGGGCGCTTTGAGCTGCGGGGCGCTTCGGGCTACGGGGCGTTACAGGGCTACGGGGCATTACGGGGCTACGGGGCGCTTCGGGGCACGGTCGGTGGGCCCAACGGATTGGTTTAGCTCGATACCATGTTACACGGGTAAATATTGAATGAATGAAGTAGAATGAAGCAACGAACAAGGACATAGGTCAATCCTAAGCTTACCCTAGCACATGCGTGTACATCAAACTAACAAATACAAACTATACAATTATAGTTTGACACTTCCAGCTCGCCAACGCATCCTTCACTGTCATGGTGGCAATGTCCCGGCGGTGCTTCGGGTAGGCGTGCACGTCTCGGTCGAGCTCAGGCAGGACGCCATCGGCCTGCGCATCGTCGGGCAGTGTGGTGAAGGCGGACGACGGCAGGCAGGCGTGGTAGCTCAGCCGCTCAGGCGCCTTTCAGAGCCGGCCTGATCATCGCTGTCCAGGCGGGACCTCCACCACGTCACTTTTTTTTTTTTTTTTTTTTTTTAAGGAGGTGAAATTACCTTATACAATGCAAAAAACACCATCCACGGTCGTAACCGGTCAAGAGGGCCTAGGTATAGCATACCGTACCCTCGCGGTAACCTCTACGGTGGTTTGAAAATCAGATGCCAAAATATTCCTTCTTGCCCGTTTAGAGCTGTCTTTGTACCATCAAACCACTTCAACACTGGGGCCACTTGGGGTGCAGTGCGTTGAGTCTGACGAGGGAAAGTTGAAGCAGCTTCTGTTATTGTTCTTGAACTTCCTTTGGAGGGAAAAACACCTCCCAGAAAACTCTGGGCCGATCCTCCTAATCCATGGCGACGAGCTATTAAGAAGCGCCCATCTCTATCCTCCACCTGCAGACACACTTCTTGTAAAATCCAGGAATCGCCATCATTGATCTCGCTTGTAAATCCTTCGTGCAGCGTCTTAAAATAAGAGTTGCTTTACGGCAGTTGAGTAGGAAGAACATAATCAGGCTCAAACTTTCCAGGAGGGAAAACTTCATTGTCGTCAAGCACATTAGTGGTCACGGCTTCAAAGCAGTCACTTGCATCATGTGATTGAGTAGGGGGGGGGGACCTTCGCCAGGAGGAGAAACTTCTCTATCTTCGAACGTTTTTGTAGCCATTGTTTCGTTTGTAGTTTCGACGTCCAGCGTCTTAGAAAAAAAAGTAACTTTCTGTCACCGCATATGCAACTAATGCATATGCAATAATAGTAGGATGATGGTAGTGGGAAGGCTATATGTTACAACCATAGGAAGACTAGATAGTTATGATAGTATAAAACAGGAATATGCTGTAGGTGTAGAATGTAGCGAAGTAACTGTTAGGAAGGGGTGTAAAAGGGGGGAAACGGGATGGGAGCGGTTGGGATTATGAGGGAAAAGGCACCGAAGGGCTAAATATGAAACCAAGCAATCCCAACCCCGAGCCTCACATTTGGAATTGTGCAGCCTGGGGTTGGGTAAGGTCTCCCACGCCCAACCCTTCGATGCTTTCTCGTTGTTATTCTCTCTTAGTAGTGACAGTTGTCATCTTTGCTTCTAGCATACAGTGGCACACACCAGGAGGGGACCTTTCGGGTGAGGGAGTGATCCCGTTCATAACAACGAGAAAGGCCTAGAGCAGCGCAAAATGGACAAGTACGAATTGCGATGGGGCAGAGTCTTTAGTTGACGAGAGGAAGAGGAGCCGCGAGAGAATCGCTCGCGGGAACGCAGTCGGTCCCTGGAGCGCCGATCGCGGAGAGGCCCGCTTTCCGCGTGGACCGGGTCCCCCTTGAGGCGATCCGACGAGACGGAGGTTTTGGGCACGGCAGAATGAACAAGGGCAGGCTCGCCGCGGCGGCGGGCGGCGCGCCGTGGCGGCGGGATACTTTCCATTTGAGCGGCGGGGCGTTCCGTTCCCCAGAAGAGGGGAGGCGGCGGCGTGATGAGCGAGGTCGCTGGCGGGGATGAGAGGAGCTTGTGCGCGGACGAGGCGAAGGCTCTGGCGGGATCTACGCTGGTGAGAGTTCGCAGGCCGGAGCGACGCAGGAGAACGAAGCCGCGGATGAAGAGGAAGAGCACGAGCCCGTCCCCGAGCAGGCAGGGGAGAACCCGGGCGTGTTGGACGGAGTCGAAGCGGGTGAATCCGAACCGACCCACGACACCGCCGACTCGTGTGAGGAGGCAGAGGAGGAGGAGGGGGAGGCTAGGCGGGAGTCACGGCGGGACGACCGCGACCGTCAGGAAGGACGTCGCGCAAGCGATGCATAGCAGCAGAAGCAGCCGAGCCCGGCGGATGACATGCGCGAACTGCATGTGCGGGGATCTCGCGGGGGAGAAGAGGTCGAGCGTTCGCGGACGTCGGACGAGCAGCGCCGCCGAGCAGAGCAGGGCGGCGTACAGCAGGAGGGGGAATGGCGCAGGACAGATTGGCAGATGACGCGTGGAGGAAGGCGGCACAGGGAATCCCGCTCGCCGGAGCCGCACGGACAGTTGCGGGGAGAGTCGCGCTCTCCGCGCCAGCAGAGACAGTGGGACAAGCGGCCCATCGAGGAGTCTCGTTCGCCCGTTCGAGGCCGCGGGCGTGAAGGAAGGCTGGGCGAAGCGAGGTCCTCACCTGACGGTCATCGGTGACACGGAAGGGGCGGAGAGGGATGGTCACCATCTCCGACGAGACGCCAAGCGTACGGGACGCGGGAAGAAGGAGGAGAAAAGAGCCGACGCTCGCCGGCAAGGCGTTGGGAGCGGACAGAGAGGGACCGCGGGCTTGGGAAGTAGCAAGACAAGGGGCGCGGGAGTCCCCAAGAGAGCAGGACCAGGATCAGGGGCCTGGCGTACGGGGCGGAAAGGGCCCGTGAAGCAAGGGAGGGCTTAGACAGGGCTAACCAGGGAGGGCCATACGGGAGATCGGCAGGAAGGGCGAGTGACGCGTGGGGAGAGGGACGCGGAGGCCCAGCCGCGGCGCCAAGGGTAGAGGTACCGGCCAGGTTCTCAGGCGATCAGCGGTCGGGGCCTTCACTCAAGAACTACCTGATGCAGATCGGTAACGTGAGGTATCGCTGTGACAGGAGCGGCACAGATCCCGTGGACTTCTTCCTGAGCTTGCCTAACACGCTGGAGGGGGAAGCAGAGACTTTGTACCGCATGAGGATGGAGGAGTGACTGTGGAGGGCAGGGAGATACGGGGAGGACCCTACTGAGGCCTTCCTAGAGCGACTGCAAAGGCAGTTTCCCGGGCACACGGCTGAAAAGATCAAGGAGTTCCAAGAGTTCAGGAGGTCCTTTAGCGGGTCTTCCTACACGTGGCCGGCCGACAGCAGGTTCGCCTGCACGTCCGGGACGTAAACCACGTTGGGGATGCGGACCTGCTTCCCGGCGTCCCCTTGCAAGGCGACGGTGCCGCGGCCTTGGACGGTCTATAGCGCTCCATTGAAGCTGCGCACGTGGTGCACGTCGCCGCTCGGCCACATGTGGACGAAGGCCTCCTTCGTCCCCATCAGGTGATGCGAGCATCACCGCCTGGTTCGCCTGCACGGCAGCCGCCACCGCTTTGAAGTCATTGCCGGCCTCCAGTGCCAGCGAAACGGTCGGCTCCACAACGCTGACCAGCGAGCACGACGACTCACCGTCGCCTCGTCTCTTGCCGTTAGAGGAGGAGTCGGCGTCCTTCGCCGACGTCGCCGACTTCGCCGACTGATTCTCCTGGCGCGGCTTGTTCCCCCGACATGGGCGACAACCGGCCGACCTTCCGCGGCCTCCCTTAGTGTCGTCGCCGTCGGAGTCCTCACGATCGGGACAGTCAAAGGAAAGGTGGTTAGGCTAGTGTCAAACTATAATTATTATAGTTTGTATTCGCTAGTCTAGGTGGTGTACATTTTATGTTTAGGGCTGGCTAGGGTTTGCTATATCTTCCTTGTCATTGTCCTTTCTAGTCATTTCATTCACTAGTTGTGACTGTGACATGGTATAGAGTGATAAGATCCTATGGGCCCACCGCCCCGTACCCCGACCGAGCCCGTAGTGCCTCGTCAACCGTAGCGCCTCGTCACCCGTAGCGCTTAGTCACATGTAGCGCTTAGTCACCTGTAGCGCTTAGTCACCCGTAGCGCCCTACTCGTCGATACCGTCAGCTCGCTAGCCCCGCGCGTCACCCGTCAGCCCGCTAGCCCCGCCCGTCAACCGTCACAACCTAGAACGAGCCCCCGCGGGCCAGCCAGATCGCGCTAGATAGGGACCACCGCTGGTCCCCCCCACATCACGACCTAGAACGGCCCCCGCGGGCCCGCCGGATTGCGCTAGAAGGGGACCCCCGCGGGTCCCCCCACGTCGCGACCTAGAACGCCCCCCGCGGGCCCGCCAGATCGCGCTAGAAATGGACCCCAGCGGGTACCCCCACGTCGCGACCTCGTCCCCCTCCTCGTCGCGTCCCCGTCGCCCTCCGCGTCGCGCCCCCGTCGCCTCCCGCCCCCTTCCCGTCGCGTTCACGTCGCCTCCCGTCCCCTCCCCGACGGGTCCCCGTCGCCCTCCACGCCGCGCCCCAGTCACCTCCTGTCCCCTCGCCGTCGCGTCCCCGTCCCCTTCCCGTCACCCTCCAGTTCGCGTCCCCGTCGCCTCCCGTCCCCATCCACGTCGCCTCCCAGTCGCCTCCCCGTCGCCTCCCTGTACCCGCCGCCCCACCTGAAACCCGACGCCCCACCCTGTACCCGCCGCCCCACCTGAAACCCGCCGCCCTACGAGCTGAAACCTGCCGCCCCACGAGCTAAGCCCGCCACCCCACCTGAAACCCGCCGCCCACGAGCTGAAACCCGCCGACCCACCTGAATCCTGCCGCCCCACAAGCTGCCCCACCCGCCGCCCCACCTGTAACCAGCCGCCCCACCAGCTACTACACCCGTAACCTGCTGCCCCACGTGTTCCTCGCTGCCCCACCTGTTACACGTTGCCCCACCACCGCTACCCCACCTGTACCCGCTGCCCCACCTGTACCCGCTGCCCCACCAGCTACCCCCCAGCTAGTAGGGACCGCTACCGACTGCTACTAGCCGTCTTCCACCCCACTAGACCGCACCAGACCATTCCAGGCCGCTCCTCATCGCACGCGACTCCTTCTAGCCGTTCTCCACTGCACTAGACCGTACCAGACTGTACCCGACCGCTCCTAGCCGCTCCCAACCACGCTCTGCTGTCTCTAGCACCTACCATGGCGTCTACTTGAGTTATGCTCCAGCAGGGTCAGCCGCTACGATCGCAGCTGCAGCACTCCCGGCGGTAGGGACCTGAGGGTCCTAGGAGTACCGGCCCCAGCAGAGGTTCAGCCAGCACTAAGCGCGACGTTGGTCCCTGCGGGTACCGGATCATGACTAGCCCCGGTGCTGGCACTACCTGCTGGCGTCCTGACCACTCCGCGTCCCGCTGCTACCGTCCCCTCGACGAACTTCATCGTGAGGGTTTTGGTCCTGACGCTGTTACACCACACTGGCCTTCGCGTCTTTGCCAGGGCACTGTTGCACCAGTTGAGTCTCACCTACCTGGTCTAGGACCTTTGCCGGTTGCACAAGTAGAGACTTGTGTTTCCAGTCTTGGTGAATGTGTAGTTTCCAGTCTAGGCTCCCCTGTGGGTCTTTGTGTGGGAGCTGCAGCTACCACTAGTCTAGTACCAGCCTTTGTCGTAGGCTTAGGTGCGATCTCACAGACTGCATGGCTTTCCTTCACCCTAGACTCTGGAGTGTCCAACTGTTTCTTTCGCGACTGCACCGACCTCACGCCACTGCACACTCCTGTAACCGTCGCCTTGGCTGACCCCTCAGCGCGACCTGTTGTTGCCCACAGCTCTACCACTCTCCTGTGTCTGGTGGCTCCCTCTGGGTTTCTCACATGTTACTACACCCCCTCGTTCTCCAGGAACCTGGTGGGTGTCAGTCACCTCCCCGAGCTCAGTGTAGTCACTACTTTCCCTCTGGACAGTCGGTGCCATTAGGGCGCCGCTGGCCACTTTTCACGGGGAGCCGGGCTCTAGACTGTACTCACCACAAACTGGGTCAGGTCAGGTCAGGTAGCTGCTCTGTCGTGCGACTGTCGGTCACTCACCCACCCTTCGGTCCTTTGGAACCACCGTCTAGGTCACCCGTCGTTCCCGCATCTCAGTAGGATGGTACGTCACCATCTGGTCTCAGGTCTCTTAGAGTCACTCGCCGTGTACCCCCTGCGTCGAGGGTCGACAACACGCTGCCCCTCACTCCTCCTTGTTTCCCCCCACTACGGCTCCCTTACAGACCCTGCACTTGGACGTCTGGGGCCCCTCCCCGGTCCTTGGCCCACGTTAGGAGCGCTACTTCCTGATTGTGCTGGACGACTACTCCCGCTACACGACGGTGTTTGTAAGAGTACGACGGCTTATGCTGGCTTTACTAGCTTGCCTGGACTTTATTATGCTATTACTAGCTTAGGTTTTATTTATCATGCATGCTTATGCTTGATTTCCTAGGTTAGGTGCTTTCCTATATTTTATTATAGTTATAGCACCGAACCAGGTTGCATGCACCGAATTCTGTGTCAGAATGTTATCTTATGCTCTAGCCTGTAGTGGGGTGCTCTATAGCGAGTACAACCCTTCTAGGGTTTCCTATTTGTATCCCCATTCTTGCTAGTGCATCCCTCTTCTTTCTTCTAAACTTTAACATGCTATCAGAGCAGGTCGATCCCCTTGGATCGATCCTGTGGGTGGGCTTACCACCTCCTAGCTTCCGCTGCAACTCCTACCACTACACTCGGTGCCGCACGCCCCGTGGCGTGTGGCAGTTTTCTTCCTGCCGTGCGCCCCGAGGCGCGCGGCGGTTTTCTTCCCGCCGTGCGCCCCGAGGCGCGCGGCGGTTTTCTGCCCGCCGTGCGCCCCGAGGCGCGCGGCGGTTCTCTGCCCGCTGTGCGCCCCGAGGCGCGCGGCGGGCTTCGGCCCCGTCAACCGTCGCGTCGCCCTCGGGAGGCGCCGCGACGGGCGACGGGGACCCGTTCGTCGCCCCCCGTCGCCCGTCGTGGCCTGCGCGCGGCCCGTACAGGCAGCGCGCGACCCGTACGGGCTGCGCCAGGCCAGCGCGCGACCCGTACGGGCTGCGCCAGGCCCGCGCGCGACCCGTACGGGCTGCGCCAGGCCCGCGCGCCACCCGTACGGGCTGCGCCAGGCCCGCGCGCGGCCCGTACGGGCGGCGCCAGGCCCGCGCGCGGCTCAGGCCGCCTACGCGCGGTTCGGGCGACCCTACCAGGCCCGTGGTGGGCCCGCTCCTTGCTGCCCCTGCCCTCCCTACTGTCCTCCAGCGCTTCTACTCGTGCCCCACCCCTCCTACTCCCCATTCTCCTGTATTAGGGTTTGGGGGTGCACCCACTGTGTACTGTTCCCTGCTCCTCCTCCTCCTCCGTCTCCCTGTGCTGCAGCTGCCGCTGAGGGGGGGTGGACGTGTTGGAGCCGGTGGAGTGGTACTAAGGGGGGGTGAAGGGGGAGTGGAGCTAGCGGTGTAGCAGCGGGTATGTGCCAGGGGGGAGTGGGATAGTTTGGGGAAGCTGAATGGAGGTTGCCGTCGTGTCGCCAGCAGCACCTGTATTCCGGGGACTTCGTCCGGTAGCCCAGTCGTAGCCAGCTGTGCCAGCCGCCCGTGGGTCCGTTGCTCGTCTGCCGCTACTTTAGCCGCGGGGCCTGTTACTCCTGTATTCCGGGGACTTCGTCCGGTAGCCGCTGTGCCAGTCTGCCTCCTGTTGCCTGTGTGTCTGCAGCTTCAGCCGTCGCCTCCTATCTCCTCTCCTCTCACTCTCTCTCCTCCTCCTCACTTGCCCGTTGTGACTACCACTAGCTTTGCTCATAATTGTGAACTTAAACTATTACTTCTTGAACTTGTGCTCAGAATGTTTGGT